AGTCACTTTGGGGCTCTCTCGCCGCCGCCGCCGCCGCCGCCGTTCTTTGCAGTCCCTGGGCTTCTGCCGCCGCCGCCGCTCTTTCTTCAGTCGGGTCTCTCCTTTCCTCTCTTTCCGGTGTTAATTTCGGGGAAAATCTACCAAGGCGAAGCCCAAGCAGCTTCGCTTTCGCCCAGCAGACGGAGGATCCCCAGCCAAGTGCCAACGCCAAAAGCGAACATGGAGAGAAGCGAATGTTACACGCGCGCGAAGGGGAGGGAAAAAGCCAAAGGAGAGCGAGTGAGAGATCCAAAGTAGGTCGAATAAATAAACCCTCTTCTCCTTGCGCTTTCCTCGCTCGCGCTTCTTGCCTTCTTTCTTCTTCCGTGCTGGTGACAAATAATCACTGGAGATCGCCTAAGAAAACCGCTCCTCTCTCTCTTTTCCTTCCTTCCTTTCCTTCCTTCCTTTCCTTCCTTCCTTTCTTCCTTCCTTCCTTCCGTCTTTCCTTCCTTTTTTCTTTTCTTTTTCTTAAGAAAAACAATCGGAGGAAAAAAAGCACACAGACACAAAAACCTTCAGTAGCCAAGACTAAAACCCTCCCCCAAATAGTAAAAAAAAAAAAAAAAAAAGTTAAAAACCGAACGATATGAAGATGTTAAAAGCCGTCCCCTTTGCTCTTTTCTTTTCTTTGTGGTCTTGTCTTTTTCTTGTCTTTTTCTTTTTTCCCCCTCCTTTCCTTTTAAGTTTCCCCTCTCTCTAGTCTCGTGGAGAAGGAAGCGAAAGGCTCAAAGAAAAGAAGGGTGGAAAAAGAGAGAAGGAAGAAGCAGATAAAAGGGGGGGGGGACATCAACTAATAGAATATGCAAGAAACGAGAGAGAGAGAGGGGTGGAGAGAGAGAGAGAGAGAGAGAGAGAGAGAGAGAGAGAGAGAGAGAGAGAGAGAGAGAGAACCAAAAAATGAATGCGTTTCAACGGGAAGACTAGCAGAGCAATGTTTCCGAAAGGGAGATCTGCGCGAATGTCTGTATATAGTGAACTTTGACACTACTATTGAAACTGACACGTTTCTATGGAGATCGCTGCCTTATATGGAGCTCATGTCAAGGAGCCAAGAGAGGGGCTGCTGGCAACTGATAATCAAAGGCGACTGACTGGTCAGAGCCCTGAATTGGGGGGAGAGAAAATGGGAGGCTAAGGTTAGCCAAGCCTCCTTCACTCCATTGGCTGAGTCTCCTCTCTCTCTTGTCTCTTTCCCTCTCGCTTTCTCGCTCCCCCCCCCCGTCTTTATTCTTTGCTACCTACTGCCTGAGATGGGGAGGGACGGGGGGAGGGAGGAAGAGGGAGGGGGATTCTTCTGACAAGCACAATTTACACTGAGATCGCCCTGCTCGGCTATTTACTTTGAGACCTGATTAGTATGGGTCGTCTATGGTCACACACAGACACACACGCACGAGAAAAGAAAGGAAGAAGGGGGAGGGAAAGAGATGCAGCGCGATAGGCAGAAAAGGGGAATTAAAAGGAAATTATTTTGGTTCACTCTAAAAAGTTTTTTTTTTTAAATTAGTTTTCTCTGTGTCTCTTTGGTTCCCCTTCCTTTCCTCCCCAAACACCCCGATTAGGAATTACAGTGCTTGGATTGGATTCCATTGTTTAATGGCTGGAAGTAGATGGCTAAGGAGAATCCATAAGGGAAGTAAGTATTTAAAAATACATGTATGGTTCCATATGTTACAATTTGACACATTTTCCCTCTTTTTCCCTTCCACCACTCTGCCTTCTTTTCCTCGCTTTAAATACCCCCCCCCCCCGTTTTGTTTTGTTCTGTTTCATTGCTGTTGCTCATGCCGAGATGAATTTCCCTGATCAGAAAGCAGCATCTCATTTCATTTGGAGATCCCATCTCGCTTGTTATTTTTACTGCTTAACTTATAATAGGTAGGAAGATATTTTAAATTAAATTGTCCTTGCACCCATTTTTTTCCTCCATGAATGTTTTTCGGCAGCCCCACTAACGATTAACTTGATCGTTCATGCTATCTACCTAAGAGGATCAATGTTGCAAAGGAAAGTTCAAGTAAGAGAGGGAGAAAAAAATGTGAGTTTAGAGGAGTGTGTGCTGGGAACAGAGTGAGTGAGAGTGAGTGTGAGTGTGTGTTGGGGGTGGAGGACAGATTCTCCTTTTCCAATGCTAATGGAATCGCTGAATCGTGCTGCCATCTAGCGGACAGGAAGAGAGGTGCAACTGCAGTTTATATTCCCCCCCCTCCCCCGGCCGTTCTTGTGTTGAGAGGAAAAAAATCTAGTGCCGCTGATACAGGAGCGGGATGGTTGTAAAGTATCTTATTTGTCCCTCCAAATTCCAAAGGGAGAGAAAGCACGAGAGGGTCATAATTCGTTTCATATAGATGATATTTTTTTATTAAGTTCCAAGACTATCCCAGTGCTCCGATCCAGTCCTTTTTAATATTTCCCTCATCTTTCCAACTTTTGTAAAAGTTCTACGCCAGAAGGGAGCAAGTCCTGAGATATTAGTACGTTTTTGAAGAGAAGCGAAGAGTAAGTTGTGTCGGTGACCCAGTGTCCCTTCTCTTTCTAGTTTCAAAAGTTCAGAAGCTCAGATGCAGAAGTGCTTTCTGGAGCTGAACAGACAGTTTGCAATTTGATGGTGAAATAATGAAGGGTGGCTTCCCCCTTTTCTCCCCCCCCCCCCCCCCCCCCCCCC